CACTAAACCTGTATACATCTCGATGACGCACCCGTCACATATGTGTGAAGTGTGCCCACGGGTCAACCAGGGCCATCATAAATCACGTCGATGTTCCCGGGTGCGTTGCCCAACTCCGCATACAAGTCCTTGATGCAAGCAACACTAGCACCTTCACACTCGGTGGCAGTGGCACTGCAGGTTTTCTGCATTGTTTTCATGTGGCTTTGGAAGGTTTTGTGGTGCAGGCCTCGATGAGATACATTCATGGCAGCAAAAAAGTCCGAGAGAGCTGTTGCCCCCTTACCGATGCTGCTGATGGCCTTCATTGCACGCAAATTGACTTCAAAAGGCCTAATCTTGGCCTCACTGTCGCCGGCTACTCTTGGGGATGAAAAACGGTCCTCGCGAAAGTCGCAGTCACTGCACGAGAGCACAAGCTTTAAGCACAGGCCGTAGTCTTTTTTTCCCTCGAAAAAGTCATGCTTTTCGCACCACACTCGGGGCACACGACGAGCCCAAACGAGTTTATCACGGCTATGTCGACGATTGAGAATTCCGTGCCGTTTTCTTTGCCGTTGTCCTCCAGTTCAACGTCGAGTAGCTTGAACTTTCGTTCCGTCGCGCACTGTGATGCCAAGGTCTCCTTCAAATCCGTCGCATTTCTAGCGCGCTCGGCTGTCTCCTCCGCACTGAAGAACATCGTGTCGACACGGTCTTGAATATTGCTTGAAGTACCAGGTGACCCGATAATGCGATCACCTGAGAAAATGCTGCAGCTAGGGCCAGGCGAGAGCACCACCGCTGGCACCGCTTCAGCTACGACAGGTAGTTGCGGCAGCGTGCCGTCGTCGGAAAGAACTCCCTCGGCCGCATCAGGAGCTCTTGGCAGCACGATATCGTCGCCTTCCTTCCGTTGCGCGTTCCACGCACGCCATTTTTTCTTGCCGTACGCTTGACGAGTCTTCTTTTTTAGCCGAGGGTCTCCGCTCACACCGGCCATAGCGTTGAAACGAAAGGCAGAACACCACACGCGCGCGCAACAGCAACCGCTGCGGTGGACCGGCGGAGCAAGAAAAAAAAAACGGCGGGTGGCCTTGGCCGCGCCAGCCAATGGGAAGCGCGAGACAGGGGGCTCGACTTGCGAGCGCGCGCTTTAGCCAATCGGCGGTACGGAAGTGGCTTTCAGAAAAGGGGCGAGAGTTGTCGTTCTCTTGAGGCGACGCCATATTGAAAGGCCGCAAAATGAGCACAAAGAAATCAGGTTCAAAACAAGACCAAGATGGCGGCGATCGGCTCCCTGCTTCGTCGTCGGTGCGCGCGAGAAGTTTGACCAAATATTCCGTGTTGCGGAGCGTTTCGCGACTACCGTGCCGTTTTGAAATGCGATTTTATTATATTTCCCGATCGAGTTCAGTGTTGAAACTTTCATGGCAGGTGCTTATTGGTGCAAACATTCGAAAAATGCGGTTTTCTCAAAAACGATTTTTTGGTCATTTTTGACCATTCTAAGACCTGCGTCCCCCCTTAAATTGGCGTTTGAAGGGCTACAACAGTATCTGTCTTATGCTAACTTGTATTCACCTGGATGCACCAAGGACCTGAGCCTCGGCTCCTGCACCTTCACAGAGGGGACTGCTCCCCGCATGAACCTTTTTGCAATCACTGCTGGTGAAGCAGTCCCTTGTGAAGTGCCTGAGCCTCGGCTCCTGCACCTTCACAGAGGGGACTGCTCCCCGCATGAACCTTTTTGCAATCACTGCTGGTGAAGCAGTCCCTTGTGAAGTGCATGAACCACAGCACTGGTGTTGCATCAACTTGGGCTCTTGGGGTGTCCTGAAGGTCAGTCGGGTTGGCATAATAGAGCCAAGCTTCAAATCTAAAATCATTTGTAAGGGAGTTGATTGTACTCTTTGTACTTCTCATACACTCGGTGTACTTCTCATACAAATAAAAAAAAAGAGAAAGAGAACCCAAATCCCAATAATAATCCAACCTTTGTTTTTCTTTGTTTGGGTAGCTTGCAGTAAATTTCATGCAATGTTATGTTTTATAAGTTTGTGATACATTCATCAGTAAAATGCACATTTTCTGTTGCTTTAAGCTCAATGGAATAACTTTGTGCTACAATCTAACAAATCTTTCACATATATCCTCGGGAAGTTTGCAAGTGCATATGTTATCAATTGTACGTTATTTATGAAAATATGCTAATTAACTTAATGACAAGGCTGATGGCCAGGGCTGACCGTTGTCAATATGCCAATCCTGTGTGAATTGTGATGTTTACCACTTTGTCCTCAGAATGCTCGTTTTACGCAAGTACAGGATGTGGTGTCTAACAGATCTGCCTGTTTTTGCAACACTGGCTTACTTCCTAAGTGCACACATCGAAGCAGTACTTACACAATCGCAGATCCACGCGCGCGATCTAATTCGACGGCTTATAGGAACAACCGCGTTTTGTCGGTTACTGCGTCTCAGTGATATATGCGTCGTCTTCACGGTAAGTTGTCAGAGTAATTTCCACAATTGACTACGTTCATTTATTGACGAGCATGACTTGTACACTGCTGCAATGTACTTTCATAAGTATAAATTTTGCCCCAAATCTGTCCTAAAAGCTGCTGCAGTGATCAGTATTCCAATTCACACAGCATCACGAATTTCATGTGAGACACGTTAAAACTCTGCTAGTGTGTACACGTATAGGTTAATTTTCTGCTAGCGAGTTCAGGATGCCAAGGCGCTGATGATGCGCTGTGCGTACTGCCGCTAAGCTCTTCAAATAATGTATTGAAACATAACGACGAATTGCTACTGCTTCGCTTAACTTTCCAGATTATCATGTGAAAGGAGGGGGGGGGGGGGCGAACACAAACCTGTGGTCTGTCAACACTTTAAAGAAATTCTCTGTGCCGCTTCTTCCAGAACTGCTACACCACTTTGCGCAGCAGTGGACATGATAATTGCGAGGCATTCTGCCAAACCGCTGATGCTTCTAAAACTGCTAAAACCGCTTTTCTTGGAAACCTGCGCCAACTGGAAATTACTGCGCCATACTGCTCCAAAAGGGTCTTTTTTGTCGAATTCGCACCATTGCTGCGCCACAAGGTGGTTTTGAAATTGAAAGTAATGTTGACTACACGCATTGTGAGCAGAAGTCTAGAATAGCATCACAAATATTATGCGATGGTTGCCATCTACACTTGCACTGCTGCAAAAGCATGGAATCAGCCGATCAGTTATTCCAACTTCTAAGCAATTGGGTGGTACCTCTTCTGGTAATGATTGGCTAAGAACAAAAGCGATGTGGCAACTACCTAAAAGCGGGCCACTATAACTTATCGCCGACAAAATTGGCAAAAAGCCTACTCGTATGACCTAGCGCCACTTTAAGCCTACTTCACGCTTTTAAAAACAGGCGACTACCTTAGCGCGCAGGGACGCTGATCACTGCCGCCTCAATCGTGGTGCAGTACCGTGTTCAGCGTGCACAGATATGCACAAACGAAATCAGCTCGCTGTTGCCGAGTTGAGCATTGTGGATCGCGGACACCGAGAGAGCAAGCATTGCGCTATCATAATCATATTGCACGCTTTCATAAGGCGACAACCCAAGCGTGTCTTCGTCTGCTGCTAGGACCGCTAGTGCATCACTTGCAGAAAGCTCACATAACCGCGTTAACACAATAGTCTCTCCGCATCTGTGCGCGGTCTGAAGCGGAGTACCAGGGCACAAGCAGCTCGTCATGGTTTGTATGTCAAGTAGGCGAAGCGCTCCATGCAACTAGCCAGTAGATGATTGGCTCCCTGCCACCGTGCAGTGTCTCGAAAAAATCTGTGTCTGTTTTTGCTAAGTAGCAGATCGCGGTACACATTTATCGCGGACAACCACATGTGTCTGTTTCGTCACTATGCCAGTCGCTACGCCAGCTGTGTATCCCGGACTCCACAGTAGTTTTTAAATGCTCATGCTCCTTGATGTCGCCACCGCATGCCATTGGAAAGCCGTGCGAGAGTGCCAATCATTTCTGAAAATTGGCAAACAGGAAGGGATGACTTGGTGGTGGGCACTTTAGGCATTGTTTGCTGTGACCCTGTGCTTATTCCATCTTTAGAGGCGATGGCACGCTTGAAAAATTAGTACTTGGTGATTAACGCACACTACGTTTAGCATGCAGCTAGCCGCGTTTTGGCGCATATGTACGTATTAACTAGGTTTTACTGTAACAAGCTTTGAATGTGTATTCGTGGGAGAGGGGGACATACGGGTGCTCAGGGTTCCCTTTCAAAGGGGCAGGGGGGGGGTGGCAAAGGTTCGTCACAGTGCCCCCTCCCTATCGTGTCAATTTATCAGGCTGGCTTTGCGGGCTCGTGTTGCTAGATCTTCATGCTGCAGCTAGCTTGTTGGTGGTATATCCTTCACTGTTTTATGTTTCTTCTAATGTATGGCATACTGAGTTTGTCTATATTTCGTGCTAATCTTGCAGGTTCGCTGCTTCTGTATAAACGATTATGTACACTGAAATAACATTAAACTAAAACAAACCTATATTTTGTTCCTCGGTGTGTGTCATGGAAAGCTCTTGCATTGCTCCAAACGCAAAGGTAGCTGCTCCAATGGCTGCTCCGAAATGCTGGAAGGCATTTCCACCACTGCTTTCCTGCTTTTGCCGCTTTCATTGCTTTCTCATTATGAGATCGTCTGCTGCGGGCACAGCTGTCGTCTGCCCCCGCCTCTGGCAGATTTTCCATTTTACAAACGAGAACTCGTACACCTTTTGAATAACTAACCTCACTTTTCATTTTGCCTTATTGGGAAAGCTATTAATTTTACTAAAAAAACTCTATTCCTTTCACGTAAAGATTATATATAAAGACTTACCTGGCTTTCGTTGCCGCTGCTGGCACTACCGTAGTTTCAACGAGGGCGACACCTGATGGCGCAAATGCGAAGCTCTCATCATGCCACTGGCTTGATCCAAGTGCTACTGTTGCATTAATTTTGTCCATGAAGTACAAATGCTGGTCGTTTTCGTTCTGTGTTCACAAAAAGGTGATCCCATGTGAGCTCGGTACACTTTTATGTGGGTTTCTGCCATCAACTGGACATGCAACGAGGATTTGCAAAATACTGAAGTCTGGGTGGCAAAGGCAGGTGCGATTTTATCGCCAGTACCTTGAGTTCGGCATTCAAGATGAAACAGAGGCTGGAGCTTCAAGAAAAGTTCTTCGGGGGTATCTCGAGCTCGCCAACAGGGAAACTAAATTCATGTGGCAGCAGGAGTTGGCGCACCTCCGGACACGTATTCCTGCCAAGACGCCAGCACCCGCAAATCTTGTGCATGCATCTAAGGACGTGTGCCTACCAGAACTGGTCAACAAGGCCCTCTCTTTAGGGTTGTAGTTTGCGATCGAAACTAATCGGTCACTCCACGAATTGTTATTCTTGGTTAGACAGATCTCAAAGTACGTGCCAGAAGAGGAAACAGCCCATATCGTCTCAGCAAGTGTTGACGTCACCTCTCGATGCAGGATGCCATTTTCAAAACTTTCTATCAAGTTGGTGGGTTCCTGTTTGGTTGATTCGTTGTGTGTCTTGCTATTGGACTAAGCGGGTGGTTTCGCCGCATTCTCCCTAGTTCAGTACGGCGAAAAGGCTGGTGTAGCCATCACTCTAGTTTTTGACAAACACAGTAATGCGAGCCTTCCAAAAATAAGGGATGAAGCTAAGAAGCTTTGTAAGCGGCTGAAGCTGGAAAAATTGGTCAGAAGTATTGAAAAAGAAAAGTTTGATTGTCTACAGTGTTTTTCACAGCAGGAACTCACAAAATAGATGTGCCCTTCAAAGTTATAGTTTCTGAGCATGACACCTGGCAAAAACAAGTTCCGTTGTTTCTTTAAGCAACGTTTGATATTATACTTATCTGTGACCCTTTCCTTGTCAGGAATACGGAAGAGGTTGCCGATTTTATAAAGCTAAATTATGACGAATGTTTTTAGTCTTTTTCTATTGACGTTAAAGATTCGCTTTATTCTACACTTTGTGCCTAATAGTTACATTCTAGTGAAAAAGTCATTGATGATTGTGCTGTTATTAGGTTTCAAAACGAGGTTGGTCTTTCATGTGGTCATAACTTTTGACGTACTATCTTAGGTCTACTTTCATTTTACAGTAGGATTGTGCACTATTGCAGCATAGGGGTATCTGTATTGATTCAGCAGCTGCTCTGGTGAATCGGGAACTATATGTTAGTCGTAGAGCCTTTCGTTTTGCGACTTCCTGCCTTTTTGAGACAGTACTCTTGTTACATTGAGACAGGCAAATCAATAACACCTCACTCTCTACTTTGAAGAGTCTGAACAATACTGAAGATTGTGACAATTGTCATTACTTTTTTTTGTTACAGTGCGTGCATGTGCTGAGCACATTGTTTGAAGGGACGTTGCAGTGTGATAGAGGAGAAAGTCTTGGTTAATCAGCTACATAGTAGACCGGGTAGATCAAATGAATACTATTGCCAAAATGTGTATGTAGCATGAGTAACACTGTTAGTGCTTGATAGAATGAATACTTCAATTTTGGTGTATACAGTAATATTGATAAGCCGTCAGTCCTTTCTATATGCCTCTAATTAACACAATAATCAACACTACATTTGAACTGTAAAAAATGGGATATGTTCATTAATTAGTATATCTGGTTGTTAAGCTTGCAGAAAAAAAACTTTTTTAGTGTTTTAGCTAATTGTGCTTTTCTTGAATTGAAAGGTGTTCTGAAAAGTACTGGCAGACTTAATGATTGTGACACTGTTTTCTAAATCTGTGCAGACATCTCGGCGGCCTGTTTCATCTGAGAAGCCAGATCAACTGGAAACTACAGCATCGGATACACAGTCTGAATCCATGCATACGTGCCCACTGCACATTACTCCAGAGAAGGCAGGCCAAATAGCCAGCACGCCACTCTCTCGTATGAATGAATGCTGCATCCAGACGCTAATGGCATCTCGGCAACTGCTTGAACGGGAAAGCCGAATCACTGGCACTTTCTTTAGCCCTTTGGTCACCAGCCCTCCACTGGCCCAGCACGATGAAAGCTCAGAAGCCAGCTACACCAGTCCAGACTGTGGTAAGACTGGAGAATCTTTACAAGGAACGAGACTACAGACACCAAGGGCTGTGCTGTGGACACCCAAACATTCGCCAGCTGTTTGCATGAATGGCACTCCCGTTAGCCAGCCAAAATTTGTTAGCAATCAAAAAGTCTCTGAGCCAACGTGCTGTGCCAGAGCAACACAAACCGATGACATGCCGTTTCTGCAGGCACCACTGCAATCCACTCAGACAGAAGACAGTCATGTGTCACAGCAAGTCCAGGCACCTACAGTATATGCAATGTGCCAGACAGACTATGAAGATGCATGTGAAAGGCCAAGGCCAGTACCAAATGAGCTGCCTAAAAATAGTGTTGCTGAGCATGTAGTTGATGGCTCAACATTGATGGATGTTGGCTACCAAGCAGAAACTTTACTGAAGCCTGCGGGAGTTCAGACAACGGGTTCCTGTTGCAATGTACTTGAGAGACCACAGGTCGCAGATGCAGCGATTCTTTGCTGTATGTACTCCGAACAACTTGTGGAGTATAGCATTCAGACAGAGCCCTGCCACACAGAATTCAGAGCCGCGGAGCCAACCAAGCAGGAGGCAGTGTGCGAGCCTGTTGTTCTAAGCGACCAGGTGCCTCTTATGAAGAGTTGTTCCGTGCAGGCTTGTGGTGTTCAAACCTGCATAGTCGCAAAGGACTGTGAATCGCAAGTGAATGTATCTTTAGCCGAGGATTACAGAACAGATTTGGAAATCCAGACAGTGGTGCCAAATGGCACTTGCAGCAACGTCGAAGCCATTCCAGACATGAAGGACTATGCATCACAAGTGAGCACATCATTGGTGGAGAAATATAAGAACGATATTGAAACTCAGACGGTGATGCCAGGGAGCACTTGCAGTGGTGTACAAGTCATTCTAGATGTTGTAGACTATGCCTCACAAGTGAACACATCTTTGGTTGAAGAATATAGGAAAGATTTTGAAACCCAGACGGTGATGCCAGAGAGCAGCTGCTGTGGTGTCCAAGCCATTCCAGTTGTGGAAGACTGTGCCTCTCAAGTGAACAAGTCTTTGGTTAAAGAATATAGAAAAGATTTTGAAACCCAGACAGCAATGCCAGGGAGCACTTGCTGTGGTGTCCAAGCCATTCCAGATGTTGAAGACTATGCCTCTCAAGTGAACAAGTCTTTGATTGAAGATTACAGGACCGATTTCGGAGTGCAGGTCATGGCGGAGGTGCTTAGCTGTGCTTCACAAGTAGATTTGCAGCTGACCAGACCAAAAGCCACGGATTGTGCTGTTCAGTGTGAGTTGCTAGTGCAGGACAGTGAAAAGGACACGCCAGCTTCGAATGTTGTAGACTGTGGGGTGCAGGCCACACTACTAGTACAAGAGTGCACAACACAAACTCAACAGTGCCTCTTGCATTGCAATCTAAAAGAAAGCGGTGTGCAAGTCATGCCATCTGTGCAAGACAGCACAACACAAAATGAATGTTTCATAGGCGACATGTCAGAGTGTAGTGTGCAGACTACGCCACGCTCCTTCAGTGATAGCTCCACGCAGCCGGACTGCCATGTTTCTCTAGCTTCAAGTGTTCAATGTAGGGTTCAAGATGTTCCAATGACAACAAGCTCCGTGTCACAGGCAGAGGTATCTGCAAAGTGTCAGGACAAATCTGCCTCAAAATCATCGAAATGTTCTTTTGCCAAAGATGGCAGTAGCCAATTTAGCGCATTCTCAGTCAGAAACATTCTAGCCGGTAGGCCTGGAAGTTCAGTGCCGCCAGATGTTCCTAAATTTATTACAGCAAGTGGAAGTGCAAGGCGTCAACAGTTTGGCCAACCTGGTAGGGATATCCTGGCTGCCCTCAGGGCCAGTCAACGTAAATTCAACGAGGAGGAAGGCCGTGCTTCCTTGCCAGCTGGTCACCCAAAGGCAGCAGACTATACCCCTCCGGGCCCGCTAACTACAGCCTCTGGAACAAAGACCTGGCGTCACCAAAGCGAAACGGTGAGAACCTTTGCCCAGTGTAATGGCGAAAGGGGAATAAGCATTGGTGCTTTTACTCTCACTCCAAATGTAAGTGGTTATTATTATAAGGAGCAAAATCACCGTTGAGTTCAGCCCAAGCTCAAGGAAGGTAGGCACACCAAAGCTCAGATCTTCATCCTTTTCATGCCAGATGCCAAATAGCACCTCTTGCACTCTTGGTATTACACACTTTCTGATGTGGGACGTTTTTTCACTCAATCTGTTAATTTCTTAAGGGCACATGGCCACATTTCTTCACTATGATCAGACAATGCTGCCGATCAGTATTCGAGGCTTTTGCAAGCATGCGAGCCAAACAATATAACGCAGGGTACAGCCTGAAATTCGCGACTTAATTTTCAGTCAGCTAGAAATATGCCGCTCTTCCCAAATGAAGTTGCCATAAACACAAAATCCACGACCATTGGCTGATTTGAGCATCGTGAGCTGCCACCACATGATGACGCAACATGGCAGTGTGTTTATTCACGATCACATTGAATATAAGCCACGCATTTGGATTGAAAAAAATAAAAGTGCTCAAGATCATGACGCATGCTAACCAACAAACGTTGCTTCTTGGGCCCTTGTCATCCCCCTCTGCATAGCTTTCAGTGCGCTCGCTGGTTCGAAAGGAGAGAAAGGGCTTTTGAAACGTGCGACAACATTGTGGGCTTCTTTAGTCATTTGCATAACACTTTGTGTTGTTCAGCAATTGTATATCTGATGCGCGGGTGTTGGCCTTGTCTACAGTATTTGCATGCAATCCGATTGTAATTTCTGATTCAAATACCCTTATTCTTCAACTTTATTCGTGTTGCAGTTGTTGCTTGTGTACAGTGTGCAATAACTTCACATATTTTTTTAGTGTGTAACCATTGCACCTTCATTTTAACAATTGTTTGGCTTTATGCACGATAGTTGCTGCGTCATGCCCAACATGAAAACTGTGGGGATAACTGCTTCAACTTTTAAAGTAAGATGTGTATTTTGTATTTTTTATGTTGTATTCTGCGCTAGAGAGGCAGCACTTTTTTTTTGTGCATAGACTGCTGGCTTACGTAAATTTCTATTCTTTCACTATTGCCAGTTAGTATTTTTATTTTACGTTGTCGTTGTCTCCTTTAAAATGAGAATACAACTTATTTGGCTTGTATGATGGATTTTTTATGAATGTATAGTGGACCTTTCTGGTGTGTTGTCAACCACCCGACACTTACCCACACGTACATTGCACATGCACGCACTCCCACAGTAACATTACCCTTGTGAAATTGACACATCAGAAAAACGTGAAGGTGTTATGATGGCATGGTTTCAGCAGTGAGTAAGTCGTGCCAGAGCCTCATGTTTGGACCACTATGCCATAGGCACGTGCTTAATTATGCATGATGAAATGCCTGAATCTTGCATGCCAGTCATTGTGTTCACGTGCCTGGGACGCTTCACACAGTATTGATGTTTTTCTCTGGAATGTCCACCACACAGGCTAGCATGTTGAGATGCTTAATCACTATTTACAATATTGTGGTAGTGTCGTTTGGTCACAGTTGGGCTATTTGTGTTGAAATACTTGACTCATTACCATGGCTCTCAAGTATCATTGAGTAGCTGCTATGCCATTCGCACTGACAATGATTTATACCAGAAAGTTCTTGGTGCAATATTTTTCTGTAGCTGTGCTGTTAGCTATTCATGTTTCATTTTGCAATTTGTTCTGCCTCCTAAATCTAATGGTCTTTCCTTGCTTCGTTTTTTCTGTTGTTGTTTTTTCAAGTATAGTTGGATACCTTTAATAGCCTCGCAAAATGAAGCAAATTTATTCTTCTTTCACCATTCTTTTCCTGTTCCGCATTTTTACTAAGTGTTCATGTCAGTGACTTTGCTAATTTTCTTGGTCTTGGTACTGCCTCTTGCACACGCTTGGACTGTTTTGCTACATTTTGTGACCATACAATGACTTACTTTTACTTGCAGCTCAAGAAATCTGCTGCTGTCCAAGCAGACATCTGGAACACTCGGGAAATGAGCCTTATGGAGCATCGGTACACTTATTTCCTTATCCTTTCAGCCTATCGAGTCGGACCTGTAGATCGTTGCAAAATTGCAGTCCACAGAGTATTCATTAGCTAGACCGCCTAACAAGGTGGTCTAGCTAATAGTCACTAGACCACCTAACAAGATGGTCTAGTGGCTATTGTGCTGGTTCGAAGGTCACCGAATCAGATCTCTGCTGCGGCAGCTGCATTTTTAATGAAGGTGAAAAAGGCTTGAAGCCTGTGTAATTACATTTAGGCGCACGTTAAAGAACCCCAGATGACTGAAGTTTCCGGAGTCCTCCACTACAGCATCTCTCATATAGTTGTTTTGAGGTGTTGAACTCCAATATTTATTACGATCCCAGCCATGGCAGTCACATTTTGATGCAGGTGATGTACAGAAGTTCCACTGTGAAATGTCAATGCACATTTACAACACGGATGATTAAACTGTTTGGACTCCACTATCGCATCTCTCACAACCCGAATCTCTTTGGGACATTAAACCTTATGAACTAACCAACAAAATGTAATTATTCAGTAATGTTTTAATAGAAACAAATGTCGAATGAAACTTATTTGTCTATTTTTACATCAAATTAAATGAAATTTTGCTGAGCTGTGTGAATCTTTTTGCTTATTTCAAAACTTATTGAGAAGTTTTGTGGTGTAAGAATATTTTGATTCGTACAACTTTCTTGCGAATTGAATATTCTGTTTAAAACATAAGCACACCCCTGATTGCCGGAGTGGCAGTGTATTTCACAAAAAAGAACACTATTCCTATATTCCCATGTTCATTAAAAAAAATGTGCCTTCTTTTCAAAACAGATATTGCATCGTTCCAAACTCCAGCTTGCTAACTGAAAGATTGTGACTAATTGATATCAGTCTTTCTTTAGCATTTAATTTTATTTAAACTTGAACTTTAGTGGGTTTTTTTCTTTCTGTTTTGCAGGGGCTCCTGCTTCTATAAGTGGTGAATCTTGTTTTCAATATAGTACCGCGTAATGAGAAGCACACCTTTCTTTTCTGTTTTTTAACCGTGCCCTTCTAACCAGTTGCCCTTTGTTCACTTGCACTGCTGCGTAATAACAGTAATCTGCCAGTGGGTGTGGTTTTATGCAGGATGGACCAGTACAAGAAAGAATTACAGCAGCGGGAGTCAGAGTACAAGCTTCAGGAGAAGGCAGCCAAAAAGCGAGAAATACAGCTCAACGCTGTCATCAGACAGTTGAAGAACAAGGATAAAGACTTGATGGGTATGAGACATTTTTAACCTACGGTGGCTGCATTTCTAGTGGCACGATATTGAAAATCACCCGTTTGCTTAGATTTCAGTGCATGATAGAGCTTCAGGTGGTCAAAATTAATTTTTAAGTTCCCCATCACTGCATGCCTGGTGATTATATTTGGTGGTTTTGGCACGTAAAACCTCATGATGTAAAATTAGTGGCTTTATGTTACAGACATGAGGAAACAGAGAAAAAGCATCTCAATGTACGTGAAAAAGGTTGGGCATCTGCTGCATATACTACGTAATATGTCAAAGCATTTTCTCCTGCTTTTAGGAGTACTGACACAAAATTTTGCACCAAGATAGTTTGTGGCATCGATTATCGTGAAATTGCCTACATCATCCGATACCAAAATGGATTATCGCTTGGAAGTTAATTCATATGAATTTTGATGTTTGTGTGCATCATTCAATGCTATACGCCACACCTCGTGATGCTGACATCATCTAAGTCTACCTGAAGGTGGCCCTGAGCCTCCGAGACATCACTGCTGCAGCAGAGCTGTAAGCTGGCACAGCTATTGTGGTGTCATAGTCACCATTGCACTTTTGCCTTGCTTGCGTCAGCTGGCTACTTTTTGGTGCCTGCTCACACGTCCATGCGCTTGGCAAATGTGCTAAAAGTGTAGAAGTCTCAATAGTCATTTTTGGATGAGGATGACGGTGCAGCATGTGCAACAGGCAAAGGAACACCAGAGCACGGTGCAGGCAGCGCGAAAGTGCTTCAAAGATTTGCGCGCAATTTCACACACTACATAGCATTAGCTGCACCCGGCCGGCGGCTTGCCTTTCTTCTTAACTCTTTCGTTACCATGCCTATTCAAATCGATCATCGGTGATCGTCACTTTGAATCGTCAGTTTTTACATGGTAAACTTGTTTCTCGTGCATCCAGCCTTTCTAGTAGTTAGTCCAACCACTCTACTTTCATTGTAAATTTGAATTTGCCCGTTTTGGCTACATAGTGATATTTTACAGACCTTTATGCGAACTAATGTACGTGTGTTGTCGGGAAAATGCACTTGACTGTTGAGCTTGACAGAAGTTCGTATCCCTCGTGATAATCCTACCGTAATATTGAAGTTCTGTAAGGATAAGAACGTTTACAAGCCAAATATCAAACGAAAGTTCCACCTTCATCATTTAACAGTCTTGAGCCTCATAATTGCCAGAAATTTATGTCAGCTATTCAATAGCGAGTTGTTGCTAGGAGTCACTAAAAAGTTATTTGCGAAGGTCCGCAGCAGCATGTTTAATGTCTTGAGGTGGACTTCACAGTCGGTTTCCAGCAGCTTTGGTTTTGCTTGTATCGTTAAATCAGACACAGGGTTGCATCTAGTGTCACTATTCGCACTTATGTCGTCACGTGAGCATGGGTGCGCACCAGCGCTGCAAAACACACGTGTCGCTCTAAACTCTCTTGGAACAGCACCTGAAATGAATAAGGACAAGTGAGAGTTCGAGGATGACGGCACCTCAGCCTCAAGTTTTATGGAGACGATGTTTTGCGTCAGCCTGAGACATCCGCAGCTATTCATGGTTTTAGTTTGTTTACAGCGTCGAGTTGTCTCCTCTGCCGCAAGTGCGTAGCTGCGGATCTTTGTGCACAGGGTTATAGCTACACTGGTTACGTGCGAGGTGCACATGCCACTGGGGTGCGGTGTGCTGGAGCCGGCTGCAGTGTTCCTAATGGCAAGAAGGCCACCGGAGCACAGCTTGGCCCTGATTACGGAGCAGCGCAAAACGTTTTAGAACTGCTCGCGATATTGATTCTTTAATACGATGTGTAAAATTCTAAGAAATATGTTTCAAAGCATATAGAGTAACGCCAACCTATGCTGAGTGAGGGGGCTCATGAAAAGAGGTGACGCTAGACGAAATAGCGAAGTTGATTAGACATGTGATTTATAGAGGGATTATTCAAGGCACTGGCATCCAACTATGTTAGAACACCTAGAGGCTCTAATCGGGAAAAAAAAAATGGTGAGAAGAATCAACAGGTTTCCTTGTGTCTTACGAAAAACCAAGCAATGCTTCGCTGTATGGCACGAGCAACGAAGCATCACTTCGGTCCCAATTTTTTTTGTTTATGTGAATGGAAATATTTTGTACAATATTTATTATTTTTTTATATTGTTCCTGGGTCATTTGTCTTCAAAATGTATATTGTGAGTTATGTTTCTCGTGAATATTTTTGCATATATAGTGTTCTCATTGCACTGTTTACCAGCTGGCAGCCAGAAGTTACACTTTTTGCATTTTTATTCATTCAAAAATATCTTTGTTTGTTCACAATATATATTTCCAGAAAGAGCAATTCATTGTGCAAAATTTGGCTTGCTGCAATGCATGCTGGAGTACTTTTCAAACTGGCAAAAGTGATCTTTCCAAGACATATGAAAAATAATCATTTTTGCACGGTTAACGGTGTGTGAATACCAAATAGTACCTTTCATATCGAATACCAAATCAGATGAAGGAAAACTGAATATCAAATCAAATATTGAACGTTCTATTTTCGCAGACCTCAATTTTCACAAGTTTTAGTGCCACATGGGGTACTTGCTTCAAATTGTCGGGAGTTGACTTCTCTTCAAAAAACTTGTGGCACTCGTTCAGGGTACTATTCCAGGGGACTGCTATTCACCGGGCCACAAGAACTGACCTCGTGTTAGGACAAAAACTTTTGGAGTTCTTGTTTCGTTGTTGCAACAGCGGTGAATGCAGCATGACGAAACAACCAAACTTTCACACGTGTCGAGCACTCAGGTTTTTGCGAGAAGTTAGGACAACTTTTGAAGTTTGTGGTGTACATTACTGAAGTGGTCTTTCGGTGACATGCGACATAGTCATGCAAAAAGCATGCGTCTTCACTTTTATACACGGAATACAGAGGACACAATTTAAACAACATGGCCTGGCCATCGAAGTTCATGAAAGGGCAGTGGCTCTAGTTAGGACAAGTACTAGTTGTTCGGATTACTAAACGTTAATACATCGTCTTTGTGGAATGTGGTGGACGACTTGGTTTTATCTTATTTTTTTCTTTAAGGGCGATGTTGGGAAAAAAGGAAGGGGTACCGACATCTAAATTTCTGTACAATGTGGTTGTTTAAGCTGTCAAAATAACACGATGTCATCCAAATTGAGTATAAATATCATTTGTGTTCCAATATTTCCCAGCTCACGACGCTCCTTACAACACCGCCGATTTTAGCCCATTTTGATCCATCAGCTCTAACCGAGGTTCGCACTGACGCTAGTGGGCATGGCATCGGGGCAATGCTAATGCAACATCAACGCGGACATGACCGTGTTATAGCATATGCAAGCCGCCTGCTATCTACAGCCGAGCGCAACTTTTCAATCACGGAACGTGAGTGTCTCGCTCTTGTGTGGGCAGTCGCCAAGTTTCGCCCATACTTATACGGGCGTCTATTCCGGGTAGTCACTGACCACCACGCGCTCTGCTGGCTGGCCTCACTCAAGGATCCCACAGGACGCCTTGCTCTTTGGTCCCTACGATTACAAGAATACACGTTCACCGTAACGTACAAAACAGGGAGGTCACATAAAGATGCTGATTGTTTATCACGCTACCCTGTGGAAGAGGCTGCCCATACTGACGCCTTTCCAGACCTTCTGTCTGTGACGCAGCTACTCAACCTTGGCCACGAACAACGCCTGGATGCTTCCCTGCAAACTATCATTGACAAGCTTGAGTCAATGCCTCGCGACGCATCTCTACAAATGTTCCTGGTAAAAGACGGCATGCTGTATCGCCGTAACCTCGATCCATATGGCCACAACTTGCTCCCCGTCATACCAGCACATCTTCATACGACTGTTCTCAACCAACTTCATGACGCTCCTTTGGCAGGCCACTTGGGCACCTCTCGCACATACGACCGTGTACGTCGTCGTTTCTTTTGGCCTGGTCTTGCCTGCTCTGTTCGAGGCTACGTCGCCGCTTGTCAGCCCTGCCAGCGCCGCAAAAAGCCATCTTCCCTACCAGCTGGATTCCTTCAGCCGATCGACATTCCCATTGAACCTTTTTTTTGAGTTGGTCTCGACCTGCTTGGCCCATTCCCGATCTCCAGCTCAGGCAACAAATGGATCGCTGTCGCCACTGACTATGCGACACGGTACACTATCACGCGAGCACTTCCGACGAGTTGCGCAACCGATGTGGCGGACTTTCTGGTATATGATATTATTTTAGTACATGGAGCTCCACACCAACTTCTCACTGACCAAGGCTGGACCTTCCTATCAGCAGTCGTTGATGAAATCCTGCGCTCTTGCTCTGCCAAGCACAAGTTTGCCACTTCGTACCATCCGCAAACGAACGGTCTTACGGAGCGCCTCAATTGCACCATAACCGACATGCTTTCTAAATATGTAGCGGCCGACCACCAGGACTGGGACGTTCATTTGCCATTTGTGACGTTCGCATATAATTCGTCACGTCACGACACTGCCGGCTATTCACCATTCTATCTTCTATACGGCCGAGAACCCGCCCTACCATTTGACACCTTGCTGCCCTCGGTCACTGAGTATGCCGGCGAAGCCATCGCGCGAGCCGACCAAGCACGCCAACTCGCCCGCAGCCGCCTGCAGGCCTCACAGGAGCACCAAAGACAGCTCTACCATTCCCATCATCGAAACGTACACTTTTCACCGGGTTCCCTTGTCCTCCTCCGGTCCCCCACTCGTCGTGTAGGGCTTTCTGAAAAACTGCTGTCGCGCTACCCTGGACCATACCGCGTCGTTCGCCAGGTGACTGACGTTACATACGAGATCGTTCCAGCCGATTCAACGTCATCATCGTCACCTTCGAGTGATATCGTCCACATAGCTCGACTCAAGCCTTATCACCTCCTTCTACCGCATCCGAGTTGCTCAAGCACCGAGACGGTGCTTCTACCACCGGGGGGTTATGATACGCAACAGCCGGCACTGC